CTTTCCACTGCCTTTTCCTGTGGCATCCCTTGTATAGGGACAGAATATGTTAGCAATCAAATTCAGCATCGGTTTTTCCACTCTGTCTGGGACTCTGCAGCTCCAAGGTGTCACCTCTCCCGCTGATTGCTCTGAACCTACTTTTTACCATCTCAAAAGTGACGCTAAATTTTGAGACATCTGCTTGTTAGGAAAGATAGGGAGATGTTGCCATTCAATTTTCTTTCCATTGCTCCACTCAATTATTGCTCAGCACAACTCATTATAACACGCAATCATTCTCTTTCTGACCAGCATGAATTCCAGATAGTTGATTTCCCATCAAGTGCAATTTTTGCTATTGCTTCATTTCACTTCTCTTTTTTTTTTTTTTTAAAGTGTATGTAGCACATAAGATTCCTACAAAACCATCAGTACGATTTTCCAGCCTGTTTCTGTAGCTTCTTTATTGGTAACTAGCAATATTTATGTAATGTTCATTTTAAATACACATATTCCAGAGCCTGAGTTTTTGGCAGTTACGTTCCACATCTGGGTCATCAGCTCGTTGTTAATTTTTGGATAGCTGCTCCTCTGTCACATTTTAAACACTGGTTTTGGTTAGGGATGGGCTAGCCAATTTATTTCAAGCAAGAACAGATCGGAGCCATCATTCCTCAGGCAGACTCAGAAGGGAACAGCCAAAACCGTGGGAATAAGACAGAATTTTTGCCCTGTGGCTGCAGAGAAAGCTTCATTTAGGAGATTCACTTTGTTCCTCTTCAGATGTCAGTCAGGTAAATTGTTCCTTCAGCCTGGCTGGCATCTATTCTTCTTGGCTGAGAGCAGGCAGACAGCTCAATCTAATTGCACAGAGAGGTTAGCCTGCTTTCCCTTTTCAAGTAAAACAGGTTTGTAGGTTTCTATGGGGCTGGCTGAATAAACAACAGGTGGATCTAAAAAAGCAGTCTGGAAAATCCCTACACTTGCACTGGGACATGAACGGGGAGTGCCTTAAAGCCAACCCCTTGCTAGGGTAGCCTGTGTCCTGCTAACGCCCTGAGAGAGCAGGGAAGTGGAGGATGGGGACAGTGCTGGGGGGGAGCATGGAGATGGAGACCAGGTCCTGAAAGTTTAGGCAAACCATGCAGAAGTCAGGACTTTATGTGCTTGTCCATATTGAGGCTCAAATCTCTGTCTTGCTGATATTTCAGGGTTCTGTGAAGAGCCCACTTTAAATATAGATGGGCATTTGCGTGCTTGTTATAAAGATCAGTGTGAACAGGGAGGTGGCCATCTAAAAATGGGACATGATGACTTTTCACATAGTTGCTAAATGAAAATGTGACAGCACAGTGCAAGGTGTTAAATTACTTGGTTGTCTTTGAGGATATTCCCACTTACTGTCTTAAAAAATGCAGTCTGTACCTCTTTACCTTACTGCCCATAGTAGACCTGCTACTGGTGTAATGGGACCAACCTCCAAAGAGGACTGAACTTTAAAAAAAAACCCACAAAACTTTCAAGAGGAGCTTGCAATTGGATCAAGTTTCATTCTTGGCCATTGGTCTCTAAATCTACTACAGCCTTTTCCACTTGGGCTACTCAAGGGGAGGAAGGACAGCCTGAGCAGTCCCCAGTCAGGGCTGTGGGGTGAGCAGCAAAGGGCAAGGAAGGAACCTGCACCCCCCCATCCACTCCTTACACAGCCAGGTAAAGAAATGGGATTGTCGGTACTTTAGGGCAGCCAACTGGCCTGCTTTGTAGGGGAACTGAAATGCTGCAGGCTTTTCGTTTTAAAGAAAAAGTCCAACCCAACCCAAAATAAGCCAAACAACCCCTCTAGTCTGAGGATTTTAGCCCTCTCCAATAGGAAACTCATTTGGCAGCATTTGCCCTGGCAGTGACTTGTGCTGGTACACACTGGGAGAGACTCTAACACTGTGGTGCTGGGCCAGGAACAGGATGGGTTTCTGGACACAGGCTTTGCAATGATGAAGAATGCCCCCCTGATCTTGTCAAACACAAGCTTCTGGTTTTTGTTTGCCAGGCACCACTGCACGGTTGAACCCTGGGCTCCCACCCCTGCCCTGCCAGTGGCTCTGGCCCTGCCTGTCTGCCTGCCTGCCTCTCCTGGTGCCTCCCTGCCTCTTTTTGTGAGGTCTGTTAAATGGTGCAAAGCTCTCTTCTGTGATGCTCGGAGACATTTCCTACTCCCCTGGAAACACGGTTGGAAAAAACCATCTATGAACAACTGCTGCTCCAAAACACGTGTCTGTCTTTGCACCATGACGCCCCAAATCAGCATGTGTGTCTCTATTCTGGAAAGCAATTCACATTTTTATCAAAAACAAGGGCTGGGAATACATAAATCTAGGCTGAGACCATGCTACGCCTGTTCCCTCTGTCCCTGCTTTCTGCCCTGCTGCCTGCGGTGCCACGTCCCACCCTCCCTTCCTCCTGCCCCACGGGTCCACCTCTGCCCAGGTCGGAGGGGGGTTGTCTGCCTCCCGCCCTAGTAGTTTATTTAATGAGAAAACAATGTTTAATGAGCAATGAGACCAAGAGGCATCCCCACGTGGCCAGGTGGGGCTGGTGACTTCCAGTGACTGCAGGGAACCATGCGGGCTGACACCAGCAAAGGAGACGGTTCCTGCTGCTACCTAGTCTTACTCCTCTGATGGGTGCCGCCTACTTGAGAGCAGGGCTACCTTTGTCACGGTTGTTTTCAGGTGGACCCAATCCCTCTAAGAGTTTTTTCTCCTCATAGTGACACAGCAAAGTACCACTCAGCTAAGTGCACCTTCAGGAAGGGTTTTCTGCAATGAATGAATTTCTATCTTACAAGAAAGGCCCTCTGTGAAATAGCTAATTCACAGTCATTTTTGGTGTGCTGTGTGCGGTATTTTTTTGCTTTAATTAGTTTTAACTTTTGCTAACAGTTCTCTGGTAAGCATCATTAAAGCTCACCACGAAAGCTGTAGCAACCTTGTGCAATTCTCTCGGTACATAGCTGCTCCTGGGAGCAGCCCTGTGGTTCAGCACGGCCCGTCTCTGGTTTCTCTCCCTCTGAGTCACAGGGCTGTGTCACTGAGAAGGTCATGGGACTGCAGAACATACCAGTGTCTGCATTTGGGTTTCTTTCATCATAACCTCAGCTTCTACCTCTTCTCCCTCAGTGCCCTCCTGCGGGTTTTTAAAAAATCTAAGCCATATGCAGTGTTGACATATAACCATCCAGTCGATATTTAGGTTCCTGGGAAGCATCCCTTCTATGTGGATGTCACCAAGTTCAGTACCCACAGATCAGTTTCCATAGTAACCAATGTGCTTCAATGAGATGGGGAAAATCAGAGGAATTTGAAAGGCGAAGACTAACACTGGAAGAGAGTAAGTGGAATAAACAGCGTGCACAGCAGCTTGGAGCACGCCATGGGTTTTATGATGTGTGTTTTAGGAAGACTTGCATGCTTTGTGAACCGTTCCTTTCCTCATGAGATGTGCGGTCGTGCCAAAAGCTTGGTGGTGCAAAGTAAAATGGTACCTCACACTATTGCACACATACAAATCCCATGTCAGCTTGTATTTATTCACACACTCGTGAGCACATGGAGGCAGAAGGAAAATGAGTTTTTATTGTCTATTTCAAAGAGAATTGTCATACCAATATTTTACAGCCTGTGGAGAAGCAAACATGTATTCTTCTGACCCTTCTTCCTCATCCCTGCTGCAACAATGGAAGATGTCAAACAGCGGAAAGGAACAGGACTCAGGCAGAGCCACTTTCCAGCTTCTCATTTATTCCATGCTGTCACAAACGCCACCATCAGTGGGTATAAAGTGATGTTGCTGCTAACTTATTCTTATATATGCTGGACAGAGTCACTACTACTGATCCATTTCTGCTTGAGCTGTTGGGAGGACTAACTTTAAGGGACCTGGTGAACTGGACAGAAGTGTATATTCTCCTTTAGACGTGTGGTACAACTTAGGGAACAAATAGCGTTGTTGAAAAATATATCTGAAATTAATTTATGACATGAATCCAGGATCTAGCACATCGCAGATTGTGTGGCATGACATATATCCCTCTGGAAAGCAAATGTTCAGAACATTAATTCTGCACAAATAATCATTCAGAAGTCAGGAACCATCAGGTCAGAAATGCATAGGAAACTCTGCATTGGTACATTTGCACCAGTACTGTTTTAGTTTGACTGACAGCATGCATATCCTAGGACCCAGTAAGCTAGTTAGAGGCAAAACCACATAAAGCAAGATTCTCATCACCCAAGTTTAGCTGGGTGAAGGTAGTCGTCTGAGTCCTCTTGGCTCCGTCTTTAATTAGTGGATAGTAACAGATGTCTCCTGTTGGTGACTCACTCCATCTATTTTCGGTTGTCCATTAGAGATTCCTGTTTCTGTCCCTTTACTAAGGAGGGAGACTAATGATTGCAGTTTAGATTTAAACAGCCAAAGGCTGGTGAGATGAAGCCCACTCTAAGACATACATCCAGTGATGATCAGAAGGTGATGACTCTACAAAGAAAGGAGAAGTTTGGCTCTCTAGTCCTTAACTCCATCCATAGAAAGGGCTAGGATCCGTTTGCTGTCCCTGAGGTGCAGCAAGGGCTGTGTTCGTATAGTTAGACATTTCACCCTCCAGATCAGGGTAACTGCACCCATTCTGTCTATCAGAGATGGGCCCTGCCCAGTGCTAACCCTAGACTGGTCCCGGGCACCATCTGGGAGAGCGCTGTGGACCATGGCTCTGAATTGCACTCCTTAACCCCGTTGACAGTTCGACAGTGCAGAAGAACCTCAGGAGAGGAGCCATGACACGGCATTGCTTAGTTTACTGGGGGAGGTGTAGCCAGAGCATCAAAACCAGGACCCTGTTACACGGAAAGGCACAGAGACCGGTGTGACATTATGTCTGGTAGATAAGGAAATGACTAAGAAATTTGCTGTAACTTGGGCAGCACAAGCGATGGCTGTGACAATTAAAAAGGAAAATCCACATGGGCGGTGAAGATCTGGGGCACACGCAGAGCACAGCTATTCTGGGCCTGGTAAGGCTGACAGCCAGGCCCAGCATTTTCTGGCAATCTGCTCAGGAGCGGCGGCTTGATGTTCGGTTTAGATGTACAGCCACTTCTTGCCTCCATAGCCAACAAAGGCAGGAGCAGCCGAGCGGGGAACATCACACAATGTAGCTCCTCATCAGCGTGGTCCTTCTTCTGGAGCAACGTTCAGGAGGAGGAACCGAAATCCCCCAAAGGAAAGGCAAGGCACGGAGGAGTCAAACACCCTGTGCGGCTGTGGACGCAAGAAGCGCTTTCCAAATGCTCCCCGTGCTCTTTTCCAGGTAGGTCCATGTTCCCGGGGCTCAAGGGTGAGCAGCCGAGCAGGAGTTTTCATCTCTCAGTGCCCTTGAGCCCTGCTGCAGGAAGGCAGATGCCCCCGAAGGGGAAGAAAGGCGGCCGCCATGACGTGATCGCCCCGAGGACTGCGTGAGATGGATGAGGAGGGGGCAGCCCGGCCAGCAGCGTTTCCTGATGGCGGAGGTCAACCAGAAGGCAGCCCACAGAGGGCTGCTACCTCATGGCAGCTTGGGCCGTAATGTGTTTCGCCCTGTGATAAAGAAATTACGCAGATTACAGCCGAACGTGGAAAATGTGATTCATCCAGTCTCCAGAGCACCGGTTCCTCCATTCATCAAGCCCGAAACGTGCAGCTCACTGGCTGCAGCCGCCCTGGGCCTGCAACGGCTGAGGCGAGGCGAAGGCCGCGGGCCTGGCAGCCTCTCCGGGGAGCTGTCTGTTAGGGTCCATCTCCTCCCGACCTGCCTCCCTTCTTTCTAAACACGGGTGACAGGACCCTGTACGTGCTAATATGACACTGGGGGGAAGTTTTGAAGAGCTGGGAGGTTGCAGGGATGCTTGGGGGGGCTCCTGGTGTTGGTGAGCTGCCCCCCCCCAGCGCCCCAGAAAATCAGCGGTATTTTCCTCCTCCTCTCGCCTTGGCCTGCCATTTTCTTCCAGTGCTGTGGTGTAACATGAATGCCTACACCCAGACTTGCTGTTTCTCTTTGCTGAGACAAAGGCATTGTGTTTCGTGTATCGAAGCGCTATTGAGAGCAGACAAAGCGTAGCGGATGTGCAAGGGAAACTATGACTTGCTTTATATGTGCAGATAAAAGTAACGTCCCATTTGCAAAGGTGTGAAGGTTTCCTGTAGTAACATCATTGTGGTTAAGCCTTTATTCAAAAGGAGAATGCTGAAGTTACTCAGTTTGATTCCTGAATGTGCACAATTGAAAGTATTAATTATTTTATTGAAGATGCAGGACCCACATCCAAAGCATCTGTATAACTCCACTTGTAGCTCAGGTACAGCCATATACATCAGCTGGTTTAGCACTGGGCAAATGAACAGTTCTTACTTCTTATTCACCAGCACTTTTGATTTACAATAGCCACATGAATTTGGAGACTGCAGCAAAAATGCTATAGAGCTTTGCATTCCTTGCAGGAGTTAAAGTTTTAACTGGGGTAAGAGAGACAGATAAGAGCTGAGAAATTTTAGCAGAAGCTTCAGTATTTGCAATTTTTCATTCATATCTGATTCATTACCTGATTTTGTTGTCATAAAGCCTCAGGATACATGAAGGACTTGGAGCTTTTAGGTTTCAATTAAAACACCATCATTTCACGTGATACCATAAGAAATAAGTAGCTCATTGTTTGGGTGTGAAGGAACAGACAGCACATAATCATGTTAGGGCAAATTAATTTTATACCTGCCTGTCAGCCGAGCTGTTGATGTGCTGCTCATAGGCTTCCCCAGCATAGTAACACTGCTGTACTAAGCTTCAGTGAGGGTGGATTAACCTAAGGCAGGTTTACTCTGCCTTTGGGCAAGTCTGAGGGCTTAACCTGCCCCCTTACCTCAATTACTTGCATAGCAAACCCATACGGAAATATAAGATTTTACTGCCATTTCCCTCCTACGTTCTCACCCAAGCCATGTGCTATCACGTCTCTATTGGGAGCAATTAGCCCCACAACTGGGTCAAGGCAGGGACCTTTGGGGCAATCCTGACTTCTCGATGCAACGTCCAGTGATGAAGCCTGAACTGCTCAGGGGATGGTGTGAGTTAATCCAGGGGGCTGGGCACTGGAAGACATGTCCCTGTGTATGTCCTACCCCGCCTGCGTTGCAATGGCAGGTGGTAGCCAGGGACAGAGAGGTGGTGATAAACAGTGTGGAAACAGATGATAAACAGTTTGAGAAGTGCATGTGCTCCGTGAATATTGCACACAGCAAGTGCAGCATCCGAGCAGATCGGCAGCGACTCCTAAAGCCACTGCTTCTGGATTCACACTCAACTATGTGCCCATGCCCTGAGTCCCAGAAAAGTGAGTGAGTGATGCTGAAGAACCGAAGTCTGGTGGTTTATATGCCTGTCTTTAGAAGACCAAACTCCCATTTCTAGTTCTACCTTGGCCTCTTGTATGCTTTTGGGAAAATTGCTTAAAGGCACATTTTTCAGAATAATGCATTGGAAACCTCTTTTGATACAGCTTCCATGAGTATCTGTGAATTAACTCCTAGAAGCTGGTCCATGAGAAGGTATTTTAACTTCTGTTTGATGGTGGGACATGGGAGAGCTTCCCAACCCAGTCAGGACAATGCCTGGACACTGATAATTCCCTTTCTGCTCTCCATGATCTGGTTTCCATCAGAAGGAATCCTTCATGTTGGGAGGGAGAGACAGCTTGCTCCACTGAGCTCTCCATCCTCTGGACCAACCCCATCTTAGTCTCCCTGTGATGAGGCTAAAATACCTACTGATGCTGATGGAACAGCTCGACCGTAAAGTGAGTTTCTGCTAGGGCACTCAGGATTAGGTTAAGGGAAACTGCTCGTAAGAAAGTGGAGAGAGAGCCCTAGAGACATTAAATATTTTAGTTACACAGTCTGGTTTGGGTGTTAAAATGCATGCAGGGATTAACACTTTAACATTGTCCACCCAAACTCAAAATGTCAGCCTAATAAAGTTTGCAAAAGTTTATGCAAATATTGAAAGTGGAAGATTAAATAAAGATTATGGGAAATAGAGACCTTGAATAAGTAAAAGAGTTTTATAACTTGTTACTGTTATTTTGACCTTTCAATATGTTTTCCTAAGTTTTATTATGAGGCAATATTATGTTTGGAAAGGAGGTGTATGACCTGTCAGGTAGTGTTCAGTAGGGAAGATTGCATAAGCAGTGAGGAACCAGCTAGGTCCCTCTTCCACACTGGGTAGGGTAAGTTAAATAAAATTTTATTCATCTGGTTTCCTAACTCACTTTGCTCGCCACAGCCCAGCACACACACACACACGCAGTGCAGCCATGAGGTTGTAAGTTTGTGCGGTTCTGAAGGGAGAACAAAAGGCCAAATCCTTTTTTTTAAATCACACCTGACTTCCTCCTTCCTTTACAAAGCAGAAAGTTGGGAATGCAATCATTGACATTCTTGTCAGGCAAGACCACTAGGCCAGATGACCCTTTTAGCCTCTGAACTTGAATCTTTTTCTGTGTTTGGTCAAAGTGCTACTGTCCTTGTAAGTATTATCTCCTGCTTGACTGTGCTTCTTGGCTGTAGCTCTATGTCTGGTTTTCCCTGTAGATGTGAGGCCCATGAGACGAACATTTAGTGCTCTCTTCCCTCAATGGCAGCATCTCAGGCAGTGCCTTCAGTATTACCCTGCACCAGTAAGAGCAATCCTTGGGCCCCACAATTTTGCTTGTAGGTAGGTATTCTCCATGGAACCTGCACAGCTCTGGGGGTATCCCTTGAGCCTTCCTGTTACCTTTCCTTCTGAACCAAAACTAACCCAAAACTAAAATGGAAGACTGCCCTCCAACCTTCAAAATTCCTCAGATTTATGTTGTGGTGTCTTGTCCAGAAATTGTTCATCGTAAATACGATACTCAACAAAATGTGGTCTTGGGATGGTAAGTCCCCTGCTGCTCATTTGCATTGACTTAATGGATACTCTGTGTCAGAAGGTAGGTGATTCTCACTGTGTTCAAGCAGATCCTGTGCCTATTGATGTTAGAGCCTTTATGGGACATCGTGAATCATCTTCAACTCATAGCAAGTCTGTCTGTGCACAACTACTATGGTTATTTCCTCCATTTGTGCATGACTGTGAGACCAGGGTGGTATGGAGGTACACTTGTCTGTGTTTTAAGAGTCTTCATTGGAAATCTCTGGGCTCATTTTCTTTGAAGCATTCATTTCGCTTTTATAATATCATTACTACTCTTTGGAGTCTAATTATTTTTAGTCGATTCTGATAGCAAAGGCATTGTATCCTGACTTTACTGCATCTTTAAAAAGATGAATTTCCTTCTCTTATTGCTACATTCGATTTCCTAAAGGTCATGTTGCTTGACTGGTAGTAAATGATACTTGTAGTTTCAGAATAGATGCTGCTGGTTAGCTAAGGGCTACTTCTTGTGGGCTAAAACTCAATGAGGAAAGAAGAAAGAAATACAAGCATTTTCTGAGCAAACACTGTAGCCACTGGTGGACATGTTAGTATCAACTGCATCAAGTTCTTCAGGTTATATTCCTCTTTTGCACTTTTTCCACCTCAAAATAATATTTGCTATAGAAATTTCTTGTCTGGGCAGATGCTTCATTTTCAAATTGATCTTTAAGATCCTGCACTTGCACCTTAAAAATCTTCACTTTGGTCTTGATTGCACACAGATTAGAGATATGCAACATTCTTGCTAGGTGTGCAGTGTGTTTCAGGCAGACATATTGATAACCTGCAGCAGTGGTAAATCTTTCTTTTTTTCCTGTCTGAGCACGGTTTTGTCTCTTTTGATCCTTGTCCAACTTGAGTGCTATCTAATAATATTGGTGCTCCAATTGCCACTCGAGCAACCTCTTCTGGGAATATGGTTGCATGGCAATATTTCAGTTTTTCTTTGAAAGCGATGGTGTCCTTTATGTATTGCAAGCTCTTGCCTCGGTGTCCACCCTAGAGCCACTCCTCCTTCCCTTCTGTTCTCTCCTGAGCCACTGTATTTTCCAATTGATTTGTTATAATCTTTATAGATGACCAACCTTATTACATTTTTCCAATACTTTGTGGAGAGGGAAGTGATGTTTTTAAGTACTTTGTTTTATCTGGACTGTGTCTGCTGCCTCCTCCTCCCATAGATGTCCCTATGCTGCATCTGTGCTTGTGCAGTTTGTTGTGCCCCAGTTTTATGTTACACTCCTTATTGCTTGTGAGTAGCATTAATAGTTTTCCTTGTGCTTCTTTCTAATTTTACCAGGGCTGATGATCTGACTCCTCTCTGTTCCTCTGTTTTGGCATATGCATTTTTCTTGCACAGCTGTTAGGACAAAGAATATTCTTTTGACATGACATCTTCAAACAGAACTGGAAAATGGTTGTCTTGCAACTCCTTGACCAGTCTGAATAGCGGCAGTGGGTACAGTAATACTCAGTATGCAGCTGCTGAGGAAAAGTTTTTGAGTAGAGGTGTTTTTCTTAGAAACAAGTCAATCAAAGTAGCTCAAGCTCTGTGCTTCTCTGGATTTGCCATGAAAGACCTGTGCTTTGTGGTGGATTTCTTCGCATTTTTAACCCTAAACATTTTAGAAAATTAATTTGGTTTTAGACTGCAGACTGTTTATCTCCTTCAGATGCTGTGAAGATCAGCCCCATTAGCTCCTTCCATTGAGCTCATTTCTCTACAGTGCTTCCCCTTTACAGTCTGTAGGTAACATTTCTTGCACCGTTCTGCATGAAAGCAGTAGTAAACACATGTCTTCTGATATGAAAAATTTTCTTAATTTAGACTTCACAGAAATGCAGATTCACACAGGGGTCAATGGTGATGGGTAATGGTTTTCATTAATAAACTTCTCAAGACTTTGCCCTCAACAGCTCAGCTAAAATAGAAGCACTTCAGATTAGTGACCAGGATGTCGTACTTTCTACCCTGCGTGTCTCTTAAATGACTTGATTAACCAGTTGTCCAGTTCTATATCAATCACCTACAGAGAGAATGGTAATATTGTCAGATTAGACACAGGCTTTGGAAATACTGGATTAGCTGCTACCATCCTATTGGGAAACTTGGGTGACCCATTAAATTTTGCTTTTCTTTTTTCTCTGCACTTATTAGGGCACTTGGTACTCCCTTGTTGCCCCTAATACTTGTAATATATACTTGTGGGCAGGAAACACATCCCCTGCCAGTGCGTGCAGCCTGCTGCAGGCAGGGAGTCCTGGGACCGTGACTTCAGGCTTTCCTTCCCTGTCCATACCACCGGACAGGGCAGAGAGCTCGCTCCAGTATTGTAATGTCATTTCCCTTGCTCGTGTCATGCTTATTGCCAGCCTTGAGATGGCAGGTGTGCTCACCCTGCCCTTGCCTCTGCAAACTTCTTGGTGATACTCTAATAATTAATTATAAGAGCCCTTCTTTTCTCACAAGAGGTGACTTTTTGTATCTGATGTGTGACACTAGACTTTAGTGCTAAATGGACTTCTTTGAAATGCATTTACAATCTTAAGCACTTTATAATAGAGTAAAGATTTGTTTACCAAGTCTTCCCCTCCCCACCTTTTTTAAAGATTAACTCCAATTATTGGTGCCGGCGGTGTCACAGTGCTGTGACAAAAAGCAGGCAGCACAGGAGTGGGGGAGGCACATGTGTGCCAGGGGGCTAAGGGTCTGCCAAAACAAGACAGGGCACAGTGGAGCTCCTCTGCAGCATGGGTGTCTGGCCGTGGCTGAGTGGGGTAGGGCAACGTCCTGCCAGCATGGCTTGGTAGTAGGTCAAGAGTAGTCATTCACTGAGAAGGAGTTGATGGTTCTGTTTCACGCATGCCGTGTTACGCTGGCATGGGTGATAAGATGGCATGGGTTGCCTTGTGCTGCCTCCATAAATCCTGCATCCCTGTGGCCATGGAGTTGCAGTTTATGAAATGCCCCATGTATGTGGCAAGTGATTTGAAGGCACTGAAGGCCTTAGAAGAAAAATCATCTGTTTGTATCACATCACCTGTGAGCAGAAGAGTCCCTCACATGTCTTGTTTTAAATTGAATACCTTTGCATATTTATATTTTCCTTTGTTTTTTACTAAGAGCACATAAAAGCATTGGCAATGCAGAAGTAGAAGCTACTTACAGGATCCTTTCTCCAGTCAGAACATCTTGCAAATAAATTAATAAAATTCTCCACAATCCTCTGAGGCAGAGAGGCTTTGTTAATATTGCCCTTCACAGATAGCTTGCTGTTGTTTTGACATGTTTTCCACACGCGAAGAACAGCAATATGCTTACAATCAATATACTTTTATTTTAGTCAGGGAAAAAATGGGATAGGAAAGGAGGAATAGCAGGTGAGAGCCAAACTAAAGTCTTTATGAGGATGTATACTGTTTCCTTTGTAATGTGGGGCATCTGCATGGCTTGGCTGAACGGCAGCCTGCATACCTTTGTAAACGGTGGGGGAACCTTCCCCTTGCAGTCTCAGAGGCTTGGGAGCCTCCACAGCCCAAGCGTGTGCTAACTACCAGTCAGTGAACATAAAGAAATTTGAAAACAGTTTATAAAAGTCCCTCTGAGAAAACTTAATGCTCAAAGGACCTCTCTAGTCATCTCAGATCTTTCTAAGGGCTCCATGCTAGCCATGCTTGCTGTTTCCAGTGAAGATGTCTTCTTAGGATGGTGCCCAGCACGTACTGCTCAAAGGGGCAGCACTCCAGGGCCACATGAACCTCTTGGCTATTTTTATACCATGGAGACAGATCAGTCCCCTAAACAGCCCTAGATTAAGGGGGAATCAAAAGTGGTTTAGAGCTGCCTGTCCCAAAAGCCTGAGAATGTCCCAAATGACTGAGAATTAGCTCTGTGGTTTCTGGGTCTGTCTATGCAGTCTGGTATTAGTCTTCAGGAACTTTCCAAAATCATCCTTGGAAAACAACAAGGAGACGGTTATAAGGAGGCTGGTGCCAGGCCTTTAACATTCTCAAAAATCTACCCAGGAAAAAAGTAAAGCCAAAACCATTCAAATAATGCAGTCTTGCACACAAATCTCCACCACTCAGCAGTACATCATGCTAAATGTTAATAGTGATTCCTTTAGCATCCAAAAATTCATCATATGCCTCCATCCCGGCCCCAAGAAGCATTCAGCCAAGTGACATGATAAAATTTTGCGTGTACAGTTGAGATCCTACTCCTTGACATCACTTGAAAATGACGAAAACCTTCATCCATACAAACACCATGTGAAAGCATGACCTCACTCCGAGAGAAGTGCAGCGTGATCAGACTTACTGCTGCGGAACTTGGATAAAGCAGATGTGGAAATCCTGGCCCAGAAAGGACCACGGAGGTTGCTAGGGTCAGGCCTCCGTGCTTGCAGGAAGCCATGCCATGAATCTCATCCCAGCTCCACCTTAAAGCTAACTAGGGGGTTTGTCCTTCCTCTACTCCTGTTTTAGAAACTTTTTAATCTGACATTAAAATTATTGCTTATATTTGCACCCACGAATTTTCATGCAATCCGGGTAAATTAGTGATGAAGCAACACATGTTATGACTCATTTATTTTTCTCTTTATACACAAGCTTAAAATTTTTGTAAATGCAAATGGAAAATAGGTGTCCAACAAAAGTATTATATAAAATGTGGAGTTGAAATATAATGTATCTGGCTTCTAGGCTTTACCAGAGTCTTCCAAACCATTCCTTTGCAGGATGAATTTGTATGAATTAGAAAAATGAATGAAGGTACCACACTACTTAGCCTGATTTTGTTTTAGGATTAAACTTGAGAAACATTCCTTTTGTGGTCTTCTGACAAATGCTCTGCCCTCCCCAGGTGTCACGTGCACATTACCAGAAAGCTTTCCAGAGGACAGTATGATGACGCTCTTGTGCAAAATCTGCTTCGGATCTCAGGGTCCCAAGTAA